ACTCCACCTTCCAAAAATCTGAAAACTCCCCATTCTCTGGGGTTTCTGGAGGTTAAGAAATGGAAGCACTTAATAAGGACAACAATACTAGAATTAGCTTATTCTTCTTGGAAGGGGCTTTCCCTTTTTTTTAGGATCTCCTTCTGAGCCCAGTGTGCTAGGAGTTTTGAGGGGGCTTTTTTGTTTGTTTGTTTTTGTATTTTGGAGACTGAGATTTGAGCCCACTCAGCCAGTAAGAGCAATAAGAGGGGGTCCAGGATTGGAGCCTGGAGCTCTCAGACTCCCTGCCGGCGCCTGCCGTGCCACTCACCACTGATGCCAGCACGCCAGCCTCATGTTCCATCCCTCTCCCTGTTACAGTGCAATGCCCACTTGCAAATTAAATAAAAGGAGCTTTCTAAATTTTCAAAGTCAAGGGTAGAGGTACAGGGCCAGTACTTAACTTTTCCAGTGTTTGCAGCACCCTGACTCTGCCCTGACTTGTTGGGAAACCCAGGAAAGATTGTTTGCCCTTCAGGTCTCTGAGGCTCAGCAGTGGGCCTTCTCCTCTTGGGGTTGTAAGAGATGTGATAGGGATAGCTGGGCTCCGACCTCTCATCTTTGACGGAGGCCATGAGGCCCGTTAGAGGCCACAGCACCACCCCTGGCCCCTGGTCCTGCCACTGGCAACTGGCTAACCCCCAGAGCTTGGCCCAGAGTTGGACAAGTCTCTCCCTCTCTCTTTCTCTCTCCCTCATTTATTCAACAAATATTTATTGAGCAGCCACTAAAGCCAGGTGGGCGGAGGGAGGGAGAGACACACACACACTGTTCTTAGATAAAGCAAACTGACTGTGTCCTGTGGTTCTGGAGCCAATAGCAAAGTCTTGCTCTGGGTGGGGTTTAATGCCCAAGTGCAGTTTGGATAGGTGAGGAGGGGTGCGCAGGCGAGGTCCACAGTACGGCTTGAGAAAATGTCTGGAGGTGCATAAAATCGCAGCCTGCTTCTGGTGAGGCCGGAGGGGACACATGTGGGAGATGCAATAGGAGGGTAAGAAGGGCCAGACGTGGAGGGCGTCAGAGGCCAGGCCCAGGCACTCAAACTTCCCCCTGAGGGGTTTCAGAAGGGAGGGGCGAGTTCAGGGGGATTCCTCGGAAGGCTCCCTTTCATCTTTACATCAGCCTGTGAGGTCTGGGATGAGAGTCTCCTTTTACAGAAATGAAAACTGAAGCCTCAGTGGGATGAGCTGAAGTGCTCAGGCCCACAGAGCTTAAGCGGCATAGTTGGGGCTGAGATCCTACACAGGGACAGGGTTGGCGGCGAGGGGGATGCGTTGTGACGGTAGAGCTGAGGACACCATGAGCAGGTCAGTTTTTCCATCTGCAAAATGGACATACCCCGATCAGGGGCACCGTTCTCTGTTGCCCACAACCGGGGGCCCATCGACCCTGACTCCAGCAGGCTACCAGCAGCAGTCCCTCTCAAAGGGCCTGAAAGGTCACTCCTGCCCCTTGACCTTTTCTCCAAGTCTCCTGCTCACACCCCTCCCCCAGCCCATGCCACCTCAGGGGAGTCTGGTCCTTCCCTCCCTGGACTTGCTCATGCCAGACGCTGCTCATCCATCCGCCATTAGTCACCAGCTGGTAGAACAGCCGAGGCCGTCAAATGCCCTATCACAGTCCCACCCACTACTGTCCTGTTCTCTCTCTCAGCTCAGCCATCCAGGGCCATCTCTTGCCTACGGGCTCCTTGTCTTTAGGGAAAGGCTCAGTCGAGCCAGGGTCTGGGAGCCCGGTTGTGCTATGTGACCCCAGGCAGTTTCCCCAACCTTTTTGAACCTTAATCTTTCTCCTTTTCTTCCCTCACTTCCTTCTATTCTCCCTTCACCTCTCTCTGATTCATCTCTCTCTCTCTCTCTCTCATGCCACAAACATTCATTGAATGTCCACTCTACGTCAGATACTGTAGATTAAAAGCGAGACCTCACTTGCCCAGGGCTGTAGGACTCATGACCCAGGCCTCTGGAGCCACAGCTCCAGGCAAGGAGGGAGCTGGTAGAATACCTGGCCTTTGGGCCATGGAAGAGTCAGTGCAGACTTTTGAACCGAAGCCAAATTCTATGTCCTACTGCCTGACTGTGTGACCCTGGGCAAGTCACGTCACCTCGCTGAGCCCTGGTTTCCTCATTTAACAAATGACAAAAATTACATTGTGAGATTTCAATGGGACATCTAGCTGGCGATGGGCGATTCCAAAGTTGTGAAAATTTACCTTTGTCTTTACCTCAAGGCCTGGAAGTCCTTCTGAAAGTGAAAAACTTTCTATCGGTGGGGTCCTGGCATCCGTGACCCTGGGTACAAGACTTGATGGGGATGCAGGGAATTCTTCTGAGCACCCCTCAAATAGTCTGCATTGTTTATGACCTTTTTCAGCTGCACATAGGAACCTCACTTTTGGGGAGGAAGGTGTGTCCTGGCTCTTAATATTCTCACAGAAAAGTGTTCATGAGCTCAACACTGAACAGACATTGTCTCTAACCCTCCGGGATGGGGGACCCTTATTATACCCATTTTATGGAGGAGTAAACTGAGGCTTAGAGAGGTCTAATAACTTGCCCACGGTCACACAGCCGAGAGTGACATCAGAAACTGCTGGCTCTGATCACTGCACAGCACTTTCCTCCCTCAGGATGATAAAGAACCCCTGCTGTAGGGGAATCTTGAGCCCCCGCCCACCCTCTCTCTCTCTCTCTCTCTCGGCATTCATTTCCCCTCAGGAAACAGGGTTTTTTGAGTTTTTACTTGCCCAAAGAGGGAAGACAAGGCAGCGCTTCCCAGTTCCCCTGAATATGTGGGAAACTGAGGCCCGGAGTGTGGAAAGGGCCCCCTGGTCCTTGGAGCTTGCAATCTAGGCCATGGGACCCAGCCCGGGCTCTGGCCTCCCCCTGTCACTTCCCAGAAGCCAGCGCCACCGCAGATTGGCCCTGTCCTGGGGTTGCTCAAGACTCTGCATCCCTCAGGTGACCAAAGTTCCATGATAAGGGGGGAGAGGAAGGAGGAGGAGGCAGCTGGCTGAGTCAGCGACAGGCCAGGGCTGTGTGCCAAGCCCCAGGCCGGCACCGGAAATGACCTGCTGGGTATTCTAAAAAGGCTCGAGTGCATTCTGTCCTCCAGGGAGCTCCCAGGCGGGGGTTGTAAAGTAAAATTAGCACCAAATGGAGTAGAACATGTCATTTTCAATGGGAAAAAATGGAGGAAGGCAAACTCCATCCTTTCACTTGGGGCGGGGCTGACACTGGTAGACCATACAGCCCACAGCCTTCCTTCTGCAAAGCCTCACTGTCCCCATGGCTCCTGTTTCTCTTTGAGGTCCTTGTCTCTCAGGGGCACGCTCTGGGACACTTGGCATTTTTGCTCCAAAACTCAGGGACCCCTGAGTATGTGAGTGCTCATTATATACTAGGTGCCGGACGTCAGTCCTTGTGATTGAGTATTTCTCCAGGTCTGTGAGGGATGGACTCTTGCCCCATTTTGCAGACGGGGAAACTGAGACCTGGAGAGCCGAAATACCTGCCCGTGGCCACAGAGCTGGTCAGGAGCAGAGTGGGGACTCAAGCCCTAGCCTCCTGACGGATGTTCACTCACTCTGCTCCGTCCTCTGAGCTCTAGCCAGCAGCAGGGGACCATTTCTGCAACAAGATCTGTGAAGTGGGGCAGTCACAACGTTCACTCACGGGGCTATTTTCGAAGTCAGCAGGACCCAGCACTGTGTCATGAACTTGTTCACTAAGACCCCAGGCAGGACGCGTGGGACCCAGGGACACACATCCCACTGAAGCAACACTGGTTTGTTCCCCGAGTGGTGTCGCCAGAAATGGGGACTGGGGTCAGTTTTGTAGCCCAAATCCGTCAATAGAGATGGAACTTATTCCAGAAAAGGGCTGGGGGAGGTTCCCAGGTCTCAGGGTGGGTAAGAAACCTAAGAGTCTGGGGGACCAGAGGGCCCGGGACGGGCGATGCCTTCCCCTGCAGGATGCTGGGTGGCAGGGGCCGGACGTTGAGTCCCCGGGAGGTGGTCTTTGTTCCCTTCTGGCACACAGAGCGTCTGTGAGGAGATGTGAGAGAGAGGGAAGAGAGGGTGGGCACAAGGAGGCGTGAGTGAAGGAACAGGTGAGCGGATGGGTGGGCAGGCGGGTGGATGGAGGGATGGATAGATGGGTAAATGGGCAGGTGGGGCAGTGGCTGTGTGGATAGATGATTAGACAGACGGAGGGATGCAGGAGAGAGACCAATGATCAGGTTTTGCTCCAGGAAGAAGCATGGCCGTGCCCATCTTGGTGGGCACATCTGCATCTGTACGTGAGTCCGTGTCTGTGTGGGTGCCCATCTCCGAGTTCCCTGAGTATCTGCTTCCTGGCAGGTCTGTGGGTGCCCCAAGCTGAGTTTGTGTCCGCATCCGATGGCATGTTGGGGTCCATGAGCTGGGTGCGTCTGGATGCTCACACATCTGTGTGTGGCTCTTGGTGGACACTGGTGTGCTTGACCGTGTCTATGTCCTGGCGTGTCCCTGGGGTTTTAATCTGATTTTGTGTCCATGTTACTCTGTGTCCAGGTTTGTCTGCTGTATCTGCAGATCGTGTGTCTGTGTAGCCACATCCCTATGTTTCTGATTGTGTATCTGTGTCTGCTCCATGTGTGTCTATACCTGCATGTGTGTATTTTTCTCTCCAGGTGTCTCTGTTGCCCCAGGTCTGACACTGTGAGTCCAGGTATGTCTGTGTGTCCCGATCTGACTGTGTGCTCCTGGCCTTGCTGTCCCAGCCCTGTGCTCAGTCTGTTCCCCCAGGGGGAGCCCTTGCCTGTCTACGGCTCCCGCCTCCCTCTTTGGTACTCCTTGATGCTCCTGGCCCAGAGCGTGGGCCCAGCCGAGGCAATAGCGGCCTCCTGAGGTCACCGCCTTCCTTTTTGGTCCCGCCCCTGGCCCGCCCTAAAACGGGTTATAAATTCCCTGCTCTCAGCCTCCAGCACAGTACCGGCTGCCAGTGGTCCACATTTGGAGGGTCCCGCTGCTAGTACAGCCAGTACAAGGAGTCACTGCTACCTCTACCTGACCATGGCTGAGGGTAAGTATTAGGGTCAGTCCTGGCTGTCCCTATGCCTGGCTGTCCCTCCCTGGCTGTGGTGGTCTGCCAACGTACTTAGGGTCAGGACACACTAGGGTTGACTCTTGGAAAGCAACAGGAGGGCTGGGCTGGGTGAGAGCTTCTTGACTCCCAGTCCCGGCCAGGCCTGGGGCCTCAGTTTCCCCAAGGCATAATCATTAACCCCTGCCTCCCTGGATCAGGGAGGCAATGGGACATGAAGGTAAGTTGTAAACTGTCAAGTACTGAGTTGGCAGACCGTCATTCATGTCCTCGGTCAGTTAGTTGGACTGGGTCCTTGCTGTGTGTCAAGTGACATGAAGCAATGTAGGGGTTGCTGGCCTGGCCTCAGAATATGTAGCTTTGGTTAGTCTCTGCCAGCTGTAAGGAGGTGTGCCTGCTGTCCCTGCTGGTGTGCAAGCCAGCCCTGGCTGACTCTTCGGCCCCAGGGGCCAGACAGGAGGCTCCAGCATCCTGCGGGAGAGTGGGCTGAGAGCCAGCGTGTTCTCTTAGGTCCCTTGCGGCTCTCAAGTTCTGCAACCCTGGCCCTTGGCTACTTGTTGAGCCTCCGTTTCCCCTTCTGAGAAACACGGATGATAATGTCGGCCCTTGGTACATCTGTGAGGGCTGAGAGGAGTGGAGGAGGGACTCAATTAATTTCCTACTTGCTCTCCCAACACACACACACACACACACACACACACACACACACACACACACACATAGAGGCAGTACTACCATCGTAGGGAGGGAATTTCTACAATGAAGGACGTCCCTGAAATAATGCCACAGGACCCAGCATCCCAGCTGGCTCTTGGGTCAAGGCCATTTGAAAATGACCTCTGCACCAGGAAGCAGCTGTGGGGAAGGGGAATGTGGAGAGGGTCATGAGGCAGTTGGAGTACGGATGAGTGGGAGGAACTGTGAACCTACCTGACCTGTTGTATGATCTCAGGCTACACTTGTCCCTCTCTGGGACCCAGCTCCCAATGTGTGGGATCAAAATCTGACTCAGGCCGGCCAGTGACATGTTGCCAAGGTGGCCACTTGTCCCCAGTGCAGCTTCTTATCCCTGTCCCCCAGAATGGGGCTCAGTGGGACTGGGACACCTTGGAGGCCTGTTGTGAAGAGGCTTCTGCCTCATTGCCAGCGCGGCCACTTCCTACAGGAGGCCCCCAGACTGGAAGGCCTCGGGTCCGTCTTCAGGGCAAAAATCCTAGGACATCAGACCCTTTCTGCACCTTTGCCGCTGGGCCTGGCTTTTGGAAATCCTTCAGACAGGAGCTTGAAAGCAGGGCCTGGCCATCTCTCTGAGGTTGCCCAGGGAGACGGCGGTGCTCTCTTTCCTGTGTAGGCAGGCCACCAGAAGCTCTTTCTTCCTGTGGAGGTCTCTCCTACTGCGATTGTAGAGGGTCCCCTCCCTGGCTGGAGAATAGCACAGGACATGGTGGGGGAGGGAAGAGGAAGAAGGCTCTGTGTGTGCATGTGTGTGTGTGTGTGTGTGTGTGTGTGTGTGTGTGTGTGTAGAGAACTCATCCTGAGCTGTGAGTGAAAGGTAGTTACTCCAGAATCTGCAGCTCTGGGTTCAAATTCCAAAGCTGCCATTTGCCGTGGGGACCTGGGGCCACATAATATCTAGTTTGTACCTCACTTGTGGGATATTCCATGGCAGGAGGCTAGAGGCCTGAACTGATGTCCCAGAGGAAGGATTCCCTTGCAGGGTGACTTTGGGCAAATCCCTATCCTTGTGCCTCAGTTGGACCATATACTCCCCCAGGGCCCTACAAATCTGAGAATGGGTCTTGCCCACTTTCACCACCCTGTGGGCTTGCCAATGTCGGCCTTGAGCTTGCCAAGGTTAACGAGGTGTGTGTCTCCCTCAGACCCCCACCCACCCCATCCCCCCATCCCTGCCCTGGTCTTCAGCTCCCTCCGAAACTGTAAATAGAACTTCCACAGAGCAAGCCCCTGCCTCGGGCTAGGCCCTGGGGGCAGACTGGCCCAACACCCTCTGCTAGAACCCGCAGCAGCCCTTTGAGGCTTCAGCAGAGAAACACAGAGAGGGACAGCCATCCAGGGTCACACCGCGGCACAGCAGATCTGAAGCCTAGGTCCAGGGACTCCCAGATCCATGTCATTTAAAAAACCTTTTATTATGGCCCTGGCCCAGCGGCTCAGTTGGTTAGTGTCATGCGTGCACCAGGTGGTCACGCGGTCAAAGGTTTGATTCCCAGTCAGTTGGGGCACATGCTTGGGTTGTGGGTCTGATCCCCAGTTTGGGGTGCTTGCGGGAGGCAACCAATCGATCTTTCTCGCATCAATGTTTCTCTCTCCTTTCCTCTCTCTAAAACATATCCTCAGGTGAGGATTAAAAGAAACACACTTTTATTATAGAGAATATTGAACATACATAAAAGTGGAGAGAATGGTAGAATAAATACATATGTTCTTAGCCATCATTGGCCTATGGTTACCCTTGCCTCCTATAGCCCCCTCTGACCCCACCCCCATTATTTGGACCATCATTTCATTGGTAAATATTTCTAAAGGACAAGAACCCTTTTAGACATAAACAAATTAACAAAAGTTCCTTAATATCACCATTAGTCCATCAGTATTCAAATTTCCAGTTGCCTCCTGGATGTAAATAAATATTTTTAAATAGTTTTTTTTTTCATCTAAATAAGACCCACATAGCACAAAGGCTTGGAATATTTCTTACATGCCTCTTAATTTATAGGTTCTCCCTTCAACATTTTCCCTCCATATTTTTTTCCTTGCAATTTATTTGTTAAAGAAACCAAATACCTTGCCTTCAGTTTCCCTGAGTCGATTGTGTTCTGGTTCTTTGTTTAAAATGTTCCTCAGTCCTCTGTATTTCTTGGAAATTGGAAATTGAACCTAAAAGACAAAGGCAATGTAATTAACCTATACCAAATACTGTGCTTGCTTTAAGCAAAAGAACACCCCCTCCTGCCCCCGCAATAACGACAGAATAGCTTGAGTTTCCTGATCATTCATTACGCACCAGGCACTGCGCAAGACGAAGGAGGGCGGGGGGTGGGGGGTCACAGCCGGCTGAGGGATGCCACCCAGGCTCATGCCCCTCTCTCTTTCCCTAGACCTGGTTCTGGAGAGATGCGACCTGGAGTTGGAGTCTAACGGCTATGATCACCACACAGAGAAGCAGTGCCAGAAGGGGCTGGTGGTGCGGCGGGGCCAGCCCTTCCAGCTAACGCTGTACTTTAAGGGCAGAAACTACGAGGCCAGAGTGGACAGCCTCACCTTCAATGTCGTGACTGGTAAGTACCTCCGCCCTGAACTTGCCCTGTTCTGTGATTCCATTGCCTCTGACAGACGATGGAACAGGGGACGCCATTCCTCTTTGCCCCCTGGAGAGTTGCCAGCAGTTACTAGCCCCATCCCTCCGATGAGGGAACTGAGGTCCGGAAGGTTGAGAGATGTCACCTCAGGCCACGCAGCTTTGTAAACAAGTCGGTGCTCCTGCCCACCTCGGTTCCTAAAGACCTGTTATCAATAGGTTTAGGGGAAAGATGATGCTTGCTCTTTCCCACACCAAAACAACTTTCCAAGTCTTATCGATGGCCACTTTCCAAAATCCACGCACCTGGAAGACCTCTGGGATCAGGTCCAAATCCATTCTGGGTGGCAGAGTGAACACAGCTGGGCCCAGCCCCTGCAAGGCTGCCTCAGGCTCCGGGGCCGCACAGGCGGACCTGGCTTCTGGTGCCGACTGGGCTGCCTACCTAATGTGTGATGTGGAGCAAGTTGCTTAGCCTCTCTGAGCCCGAGTTTTATCATGTAGAGAGCAGTCCTGAAAGAGGGTTGTTAAGTGAGAAGGGCCTTTCTTGGGGGGTGCCCTGTAGACATTAGTGGCAGTTCCTGATCTTGCTCCAGGGGCTCCAGAGGTGGATAAAGAGACATTGAGGCCCCAGTCACCCCATCCCTAGACGCCCAGTGCCCAATCCTGGGAAAATGGCATTGAATGCTGAACCAGCTGCTTTGGTTTCTGGTGGAAACCACTTCCTCGAGGTCAGCGAGGGGCCGGCCACATGGCTGGGACTCTGGCCCAAGGGAGGGAAAGGACAGCTCTTCCTGAGGTCTCTGAGGGCAGATGGAACAGCAATCAGGGGCTGCGCCCACCTGGCTGAGGCCTGAATTTACCTGGGAGCCCGTTTGATAGCGCTTATCGCAGTGCCTGCAGACTGGACACAGATTTCCTCTTCATCCTTGTTCCCCGCTTCCCCGCCCCTTCTGGCAGGGATGCACCCTCTCTAACAGAGGGCTTTCAGCTAGTCTCCAACCTTTCTATTCTCAGTTTCCGTTCTGTAAAGTGCCAGGTGGGAGTATCTGACAGCGGTGCCCTGACAAGAGCTAAGCTTAGGATGAAGAAGGTCACATCTACGGAGCACCTGCTGCATACTCCTTCTGAACCCCTCCCCCATCTTGGAAGGATAAGGAACACCCATTTTACAGAAGGGAACACTGAGGCTCAGAAAGGTCAAGTTACTTGTTCCACTCAAACAGTGTGTAGGGGAAAGGCAAGATTCAAACCCCTACCCTCGAGTTGATGTTTTCCATCACTGTGACTCCGCAGCAGGTACCTTCAAGTGCCTGCCGGGCCTCAGTTTGCTCCTCTGTGCAATGATATGGTAGATGAGCTATGAGCTGGAGTAGCCTGTAATCTCCTACTTGCCTTTTCCTTCTTTCATTTTCAAGGTGCCCCCTCTTTCTCCTTCTCAATTATCTAGGCAGCCTGGTGTCAAGTAATTAGGGTTCACGTTCAGGGTAATGGAAACAATTGGGCTTCCCATCCCCACAACAAATCTCTGTTCTCCAGTCTTCACCGAGCTATCTCAGACCGCAGCCAGCCTGCCCTGGGCACTCCCACAGCCCCTGTGGCAGCCACGGGGGCCACAGTAGCTTGGGTGCACACAGCTTCTCTTCCCTGGGTCTGGGAAGCCCGAGGACAATAGGAGGAAGCCAGGCCTCTTGCATCAAGGCCTGGCTTGTTTCAGCATCCAGTTGTGGGCCTGGCCTGGGCACCTTACATGTTGGAACGTCCTGTGATCATGCTTTCCTACCTCTTCAGGGAAACCGAAACCCAGACAGGGGAGAGAGCCTGTCAAGGTCACTTAGCAAACGACGTGTGTGGCCTGACCCCCGACATAGCGGAGGGCTGTGTATCCCACCGCGATAGTTCAAGACCTGACGGGCTCTGTTGTAGGGGACGGGCCACAGTACACAAACGCCATCCTTGTAATGGGATTAAAGCTCCGCTCCACTCCCAGGGAGGGCCAGGGCTTGGGGCTGAGTGGGGTGGGAGTGAGGTCAGCCTGAAGGAGTGAAAAGAGCCCTTGTGAGGCTAAGAAAGCTTTGCCCTGGAAGGTTCTCCTCATCCGCCACACCTGACCTCCTGCCACCGTGGTCTGGGATAGGGACCTGGGCCCCTCAGGTCCTTGGAGCCATTTAGGCCCAGAGGGGCCCCTGTGATGCTTCTGATCCCACAAGGAGTTCTGCGTGGACCATGGTGACCAGATCATTGATCTTGCAAACAGGGACATTTCTGAAAAGGAAAGGGATGCCCTTAATAATTTATACTAGCATCCTGGCCAGTGTGGTTCAGTTGGCCAGAGCATCATCCCCTAAACGGAAAGGCTGTGGGTCTGATTCCCATTCAGGGCACATATCTAGGTTGGGGGGTCTGGTCCCCAGTTGCGGCGTGTATGGGAGGCAACCAATCAATGTTTCTCTCTCACATCAATCTTTCTCTCCCTCTCTTTCATTCCCTTCCCCTTTCTCTAAAATCAATAAGTATATCTGGGCAAACTGGGACGAAGAGTCACCTCAACTTTAACTCCTCTTGGCTTCAGTTTGCATTTCATTCCGGTTCTCCAAATGCTATTTGGCCTGAGAATGCTGATTTTTAATGGCCCCTTTTGATGACACCAAGGATGGCTCACATTGTGCAATGACTACTTCTTAGTCTCTGTTTTAAGTGCCTTCTATGAACTCTCTCACTGAATCCTCTAAACATTATTAGGAGGTGGTGGTGACAATATACAATAACTTTCATTTATTGAGCACTTACTATGTGCCAGGCACCTCGTGATGGGCTTCACATGCCTCGCCTTCTTTAAGCTTCACACTGACCTTGTGATTAGGTATTACAATTGGCCCCATTTTACAGGTGAGAAAACTGAGGCACAGAGAAGCTAAGCTCTCCAAGTTCACAGAGCCAGTTTCAGACCTGGAACCTGACCTTCCCAAGCATGTGATCTAAATCTATTTTTTTTTATGAGAATGTTGCAGATCAGAGAAGCCTCGTGACTTAGCTCAGGTCACACAGCACCAGGGCCCGAGTTGGGGAACCAGATCTAGATTGGCTCGTGGGCCCCAGTACTGCCAAAGTCCTCCCTCTAATGCCGACTCGGGAGGACAGGGAATGGTTAAAGGCTTACGGCTGGCTCCTGTCCCCCAGCTAGGGCCCCAGAGGGCTGTGTCATGCCTTTTAGTTCCCTTTTCTATTTGGGCTTGAGTATGGTTGGGGGCAGGGGGCAGGGGGCTGGGTGCTGGGGTGGGCGCCCCTCAGTGAGCAGGTCCCTGAATTGTCAGCAACAGTGGGCAGAGAGGCAGGAAAGGAGGTGGAAGATTAAAAATAAACCTTCCTGGGCATCTGCCCAGTTGAGCAGAGGAGTTTCTGTTTCTCCTTTCCACCACCCAAGGCCAGAAAGGGTGACCAGCCGCCTTCGCCCTCCCTGTGACTCAGACCTGCCCGCACACTCCCCTGCCACCAGGCACTCCCCTCCACCTGGAAAAGCAGCTGTTTGAAGCAGGCTCTCTGTCTGCCTTCCTGAGCCTTGAGGATCCTACGAGGGAGCAGCCTCTGGCAATGAGAGGTGCCCTGAAGGACAGCCCAGAGCCTAGAAACCTAAGCTCAGACACTAATTTTGCTGCAGGCCCCTGGGATATCCTTGGAGGGCCCCTTCTCTCTCAGCTTGCTTTTCCCACCGAAAGAGGAAGCAGGGAGCGCCCAGGCATTCCGTAAAGCACCAAAGGCTAGAGGACGGTGAGACATGGCTGTGACCCCTCCTCAGAGCTGCCTGTGGAGACCCAGAGGCCAGAAGCTGGAGGGGGCGCTGGGGAGACAAGCACTTAGAGGCAGTATGGGCCCAACAGCAAGGGGGGTTCAGACAGGCTCCGTGGGACATCAGAGGATAAAGGTCCCATCCTATTCAGAGCCTGGGTTTCTGGGGGGTTTTCTTTTTTTAAGAATCCTCACCTGAGGATATGCTTATTGATTTTAAAGAGAGAAGAAAGGGAAAGAGAGAGAAACATCAATGTGGAAGAGAAATAGTGGTCAGTTGCCTCCTCTATGAGCCCTGACCGGGGATTGAACTGCAACTTTTTGGTGTACGGGAAAATGCTCCAACCAACTGAGCCACCTGGTCAGGGTGAGCCTGGGTTCCTTTTTCTGAAAGGGAAGAAGGACACTAGCAGGAAAAGGAGCTAGGCCAGGAAGAAGGGGAGCATCTACCCAATTCCTGTCTGTGCTCCAGATGGGCAAACTGAGCGGAGGATGGGTTTGTCCAAAGTCATGCCAGCCCAGAGCATTGCAACTGAAACCTGTCCCAGGATGCGCTGTCTCCTCCCAGGAGGAATCTGTCTGGTTGAGAACCTTCTGTGTGCCTGCCGCTTTTCATGCACTCCCGCAAGACTATCTGCAAGTTTGGGGTTTGATCCCACTTTACAGATGGCCAAACCAAGGCTCAGGGAGATGAAATCTCTTGCCTAAGTTCCCTCAATGGTTAGTGGCCTTGAATCCAGGCCCAAGGACCCCTGGCATGTGCCCTGCCCCTGCCAGCCCTGACTCCCTCGCTCCCTGCCCACCCCTGGCTCATGGCCCCTGCTTTCTCCTTCCGCAGGCCCAAACCCCAGCAGTGAGGCGGGGACCAAGGCCCGCTTCCCGCTGTCTGATGCTGTGGAGGAGGGGGCCTGGATGGCCTCGGTGGTAGACCAGAAGAACCGCGCTCTCTCACTGCAGCTCAGAGCCCCGGCCCATGCCCCCATTGGCGTGTACCGTCTCAGCATGGAGGCCTCCACGGGCTACCAGGGCTCCAGCTTTATGCTGGGCCAGTTCACCCTGCTCTTCAACCCCTGGTGCCCAGGTGAGTCGCACTCCATCCATGGGGGCCACTGAGGATGGGGAAATGGGACAGAAGAGGCATCAAAGTGGATTGAGTGAGGTCTGCTCGGTGCAACTCCGCGCTCAGCTTCCCCAAAACCCTGTGACGTGAGGACTCCTCTTACTCCCATTTACAGAGGAGGAGACAGACTTGCAGAAGCAAAGTGACTTGCCTAATGCCTCACAGCTACTAAGCGGTCTTATTCCACGTCTTGGCCCGGGAGCCATGGCACTGGGAGCTGACCATGGAGGTGGCCCAGGTTCAGAAGCCCCATGCAGGCATAGGGGACCTAGGGGGTGCCCAGCGCCATGGCTCCACCCCTGGTTCAGTTTCACAGGGCTCCGTTTTAAATCTCACCGGACTGACTTGGGGAGGGGAAACAGAGGGAGGTGGAGGGGTGGGGTAGCCAGGGTTTGTTATGTGTTTCCTCATACACACTCTCAATTATTCCCCCTGACCACCCTGAGGGCAGAGGTCAGGATCCTCATGTCACAGGCAGGAAACAGGCTCAGAGAAGTTAAGTGGCTTTTGGCAGCTTCTTCAATAAGTAAGTGGACCGATGCTGGACAAAACTAGAGAGTCAGAGGGGAGAGTGAGGAAGAAGTGAGGCCGACTTGAGCAGGTGGGAGGAAGCAGCAGAGGGCACCACACTTCTAGGGCCTCAGTTTCCCCATTTGACTAACAAGGCAGTCAGATCTGTTTCCTTCCTGCTCTTACACAGCAAGGCAGAGAGAGAGAGAGAGAGAGCTTGTGGGTGGGCCTTAGCCTAAGAATGGGGTGTCCGCCTTCAAAGCCTGGGCCCGGGGCAGAAATTCTGGCCTCTCCAGGATCAGACAACCAGCTTCTTACAAGGCCACTGCTTCATTTTTTTTCTCTCCATTTTGAGGACATTTGATTACATATCTGAGCAGAAAGATTTTTTTATTTTCTCTTTTACATACTTTAGTTTTGTTTCTTATTATAACACTAAGATGAGAGAACACATCCCCTTTGTAAACGCTTTAAGAGAAAGAGAACAGCAAGCCCTTGATTCCCTTCCTTGGAAAGACGATGATTAGCCATCTTGGAGGGCTTGTCTCCTTAGATCTGGGCACATGTGCCTGGAGAAATCAGTGCATTCATGAGTTCCTCTGTCTCTCTTGAACATAAAATGATCCCACATATACATCAGCCTACTGGGTTGTCTTTCCCTCTGCAATATGTCTTGAGGATCTTTGCACACTCATCTGCATACATTGGCTCATTCTTTTTAAGGGCCCGAGTGCTCATATCTTGCCCGTGTGCCTTGGTCATTCATCTGGTCCTCCAACCCAGTAGCTCATCACAGGGAGCGTGTCGCAATGAGCACCCTTGTTCATATGGCCACGTGGAATGGTTTCTCAGGATAGGATTGGCCTTGCTGGACACCGCTGCATGCTTACTTCGATTTTTGACAATCTGCCGAGCTTATAGCTAGTTGGCAGCCCAGCCCATGGGGCAGGAGCGTGCCTGTGCCTCACTCCCCCTACCCCCCGAATCCCATCCAATTCTGTGAGAGTTCAGAGTCCAGAGAATAGGGAGAAAGGTCCTGGGGGGTGTTCTCTTTCCTTTTGAACTCTCCCCTCCTTGCTTGGTGGGTTGGCGTGGCGGTCAGCCAAGCCATACAGCAACTAAATGGCCCCTGTCTCCGGGAGGAAGCAGAAGTGGTGGAGCTGGGGATTGGGAAGCCAGAAGGCGAACTCTGTGGCGGTGGGACGATGGAAAAGGACAGTTTTCCCTCTGGGGGAGAGGGCAGGATCTGCCTACTGTCCCTGAGCTCCAACATGGACAGGCTCAAGCACCACCTATATGCGAGGCTTCTGTCCCTAGTGCCCCTGTCTCGCCAGATGGAAACCTGAGTGGGGAACTTCCCAGCAGGCTGACAGACTCACTCCAATGGGAAAACACTGTGGGTATTTCTTTCTCTTTCACTCTTTCTCCCACACTGCCAGTTACCACAAAGCTAATTTTTATTGCATAATGTCTGTAGAGAAAGAGCAGGATATATAAGACACTCAGCAATTTCTACATCTGCCTTCTTCCATGAGATACGAGTCAGGGTGTGGGTCACTGAAGACGGGCAGATGGAGCCCAGGGACCTGAGGGGCCTGAGCAGCTGCCTTCCAGGCCCAGCGTCGCCAGGTCCTGTGCCTACTGATGTCAGTGCTTTTACGGATTGACTTCAGTAGGCACAGGACCTGGGGACACCGTGTTTTTAGGGTCCCATGAAAATATGTTAATTTCTTTTATTTATTGATTTTATTAACTTTTAAAGGATTTTATTTATTTATTTTTAGAGAGGGGGGAAAGGAGGGAGAAAGAGAGGGAGAGAAACAGCGACGTGAGAGGGAAACATCGATCAGTTGCCTCGCATGTACGCCCCGACTGGGGCGCAGGCCCACAACCCAGGCATGTGCCCTGACCAGGAATGAACCGACATTTCCGTTTGTGGGACGATGCCCATCCAATGTAGCCACACCAGTCAGGGAAGTTAATTGCTTTTAAAATTGAAGAAAACAATAAACATTTAGGCCAGAGAATATGTTTCAATATATAATATTAATATATTCATCATTATACCAATGCAGTCATAAAGTACATTTTTAATATCTTTTTTTATAAAAGCAGAAATGCCCAGAGCCCACCAAAGGCATAATGTGGTTCTGGATTTCCTCTTCCCAGCCTCCATCTCTTTACTTGTGGAGTGGAGATGGTAAAGCCAGCCTGACATTTGACCTCCTGCCATCTGGCCCCAACGACCTTGGCCGTCTTTTCTGTCCTCACTAGTCATAGGGAACTAAGGGCCTTGCATTTTCCAGCAGCCACAACTTTGCTGTCTCTGGTCCCCAGCTTAGAATGTTGTCGAGGCATCAGATGCCACCTGTTCCCCTCAGCCGGACAGGACCCCACCTCTCCAGAGCTCCAGTCACCTTTTCTCGGCTTTCTCTCCTCTGGCTCTTTCCTTTCTCCTTGCACTGGCTTGGGGTTTTAGCTTACAAAGCACCTTCCAGATCTGTGGTCACATTTTACTTACAGGGAGCACAGAACGGTAGGCAGAGAAGGACAAGTGACCTGAGCAGGATCTCACACAGCAAGTGAGGATCAGCGCTCAGGGGCTCCAGACTCCAGTCCGGCGCTCCTCTGTCTCTTATTCTGGCATTAGCTTTTCCATTGGTACAATATTCTTGAGCCTCTGTTTTTCTACCTGTAAAATGGGGCTTTCATAGATCCCTTCCACACCAGGCTCTTGAGGAAAATAAGCAAGTTAATATATGCCCACACTTACCACAAATCCTGGCACTTGGCAAATGTTAGATAAAGGCAGCAGCCAGCCATTGTTGTCACTAACTGATAACACCTTATGTCATTAACATGGGATTGTAATTAATGCTTCATTTTTTAGATTAAAAGATAGGAAAGCCTCTGAGACACTGGCCTGGCCCCGGGCAGTTGGCACCTGGGCTGCCATGTCTCCAGGGACCATGGGCCTCACCAGACCCAAAGCTGATGACCCTTCCTTCCTCCCCACAGAGGATGCTGTGTACCTGGACTCAGAGGAGGAGCGGCAGGAGTACGTCCTCTCCCAGCATGGCCTCCTCTTCCAGGGTTCAGCCAAGTTCATCAAAAGTATACCTTGGAACTTTGGTCAGGTAGGACCACTCCCTGCCCGTCCCGACCACCTCAGACCCACTGTGTGCCGGGCCCTGGGTCTGAGGTAGGCGAGCTGCAAAAGCATCGTTGGGTCTCAGAGCCACCTACCCCATGCTGTCAGGATTCAAATCCCTGAAATGGCTGGAGGCTCAAAGAGAGCCCAGGCGAGGCCTGAGGTCACACAGCAAAGGGTTGCCCTACCTACCATTGGGTCAACAGCCCTGGATATTCAAGGTGGGAAGGAATTAGGAGAGCCATTAGGAGTTGTGGGCAGGCAGTCACTCCGGGAGGGAAAAGGGGACATTCAAGTCCATATATCAAAATAATAGGCTGCGCTTGGAGAGTGTTTACTATGTACAGTCATGTGCTGAGAGTGGCCTTTAAACATGGAGATCAGTGGGTCTCAAACTTCAATGTACATTGGAATCACTGAAAAAGTGTGTAAAATACAGATCACTGGGCCCATCCCTAGTTTCTGATTCAGTAGGTCTGGGTGTGGGCTGAGAATCTGCAGCTTTAACAAGTTCCCAGGTGATGCTGATGCTGCTGATCCAGTGTCCATACCTTGGGAACCACTGGTGTAGGTGTATCAGCCAGCTACTGCTGAATAACAAACAAGCCCACACCTTAGGGGCTTAAAACAACGATCATTTACTATTTCTCAGAAATCTCTGGGTCGGCCTGGGCATGGCTGTCTAGGCCGGACTTGTCTGACCTCAGCTGGATGGCTGTTCTCTGTCCCATGTGGTTCATGATCGTCCAGTAGGCCAGCCTGGGCTGGTTATCCTCCACCATCCAGCCTCCCATAACAATTCTTAAGACATTGCTGAGAAAAGCCGTGAAGCAAGAACCATCTCACACCTGCCCCCTCAACCTCCTGATATGAAGGAAAGGACTAACTAACTGGCCACAGGGTCAGGGCAGTTCCTGAAATAAGCACCATCTGAGCTGGGTGTGTCGCCTACCAGGCAAAGGGAACTGCATGGGCCAAAGCTTAAAGATGGGAAATGTATGCTTAAGAGGTACGTCGTAGCTTGGGGAGCACCATGTTTATGAAGGAGCCCCAGGAGATGACATGGGAGAAGTCAGCAGCGTTCAGGTTGTCAGCTGGCCTTAGTGTCAGGCTGATGGCAATAGGGAGCCACAGAAGGAGTCAAGCCATGCAGAGAGACCTGTGATGAGGTCTGGTATGGGACAAGACCACAGACATGGGGAGCAGGGGACAGCTGGAAGAGTCTTTGACTATGAGGGATGAAGGTGACAAGGAGGGGGTCCTACTTTTGATAAAAGTAACTTGAGTTGCAAGGGTGGAAGGGTGTGAGCCATACAGAAAGTGGCAGGAAGAGCATTCCAAGCAAAGGGTACAATAACAGGTGCAAAGGCCCTGGGGGCAGAGTGAGTCTGGGGGAGAGCGGTGGGAGATGAGGTCAAAGAGGGGTATCCCTGGGCACAGATCATGCAGAGCCTCACAGGCTACAGGCGAAAGTCCAGACTTTACTCTGAGTATGGTGGAAACAGGGGAGCGAAGAGATTAGATTTCTGTCTCTATAATCTACATCATTTCCAATCAGAGCAGTGTGTGTGGCGGGGCGGGGAGGAAGCGACCCTCCTCCGCTCTGGCTCAGGTCAGACCTCAGGGCAAGTGGGCGATTTGGCTGAGCAGAAGCGGGCGATTTGGCTGAGCAGAAGCGGCGGAGGGGGCTGGCAGGGCCTGAGGTGACTCTGAGGGTAGGGAAGTCCCGGCAACCCTGGGCTCCCCACGCTGCGGTCTCTACTCCAAATTTCCAGGACCCCCCCCCAGCCAAGCCTCGGATGCAGGCGCCCCCCCTTTTCCTTTTCCACACCCTAGGTCTTTGTGATTCCCATCCCCCTCCTGGGCCAGGAGAAGCTGGCCTCAGAGATGGGGCCAACCTAGCGTGAACTTCCCAGTCTGTGTGAGACAGAGCAGAGAGCTCCTACAGCCTCTAGGCTTCAAGGCAGGCTTCCTGGAGGAGGTGACTTCTCACTCCCCTCATGCTCCTCTTGTTTCCCCTGAACACAGTTTGAAAATGATATTCTGGATACCTGCCTGATGCTCCTGGATCTCAACCCCAAGTTCCTGAAGAACAGTGGCCGTGACTGCAGCCGCCGCAGCAGCCCCGTCTATGTGGGTCGGGTGGTGAGCGCCATGGTGAGTGAGCGGGAGGCCCACCCCAGGGTCCCATGACAGGACACAGAGCGGGTACTCAGCGGGTGGTTAAGTCTCAGCTAAGAGAGCTTGTATTTAGAAAGACAAGATTTACCCAAATGAGGATAATGCCAAGTGATTCTTCAAAGCCATTCTTTCGTTCGTTCATTCATTCATTCATTCATTCAGCAGATATTTATTAAGTACCACTATGTCCTAAGCACTGGGGAAACAGCTGGATATAAGACATGTGTGGTCTCTAACTTCCTAGAATTTATGTTCTAGTGGGAGGGTGGGTGGAGACAGACATTAACCAAAATGTCATGTGAACAAGGGCATAGTCATAAATAATGATGCAGGCGCAGAAGGAGCCCAGATGTGAGAGTGTCTGACCGCAGGGCCTAACCACAGTGACGGCTGGGGGAGCCTCCCTGAGCGATGCTCCCCGCGCTGCTATAGTATCCAGGAGGAGGAGAGCATTCCAGGCAGGGGGTGCAGGGTGCAGCTTGTGCAAAGGCCCTGAGGGGGATTGACTGGGGGGGGGGTTTGAGAAGCAGAAGGGAGACCAGCGTGGTGGGGCAGAGAGAACAGAGGGAGCAGGGTGCAAGTGGGGCCGCAGAAGTGGGCAGGGGCCTGACCACACAGGCTTTGTGGGTTGCGGTCAGAAGTCTGGATTTTATTCTCGGGGGAATGGGAATTGGGGGAATGATGCAACCTGGGCAGGAGCCAGAACTGGTCTTTGTATTCACTCAGGTCACACCAGTCACAGACAAATTCACATCTCCGGCGTCGCCTTCACGACCTTGACCGCTCTTCACCTCCTCCCTCCCCCTTTCCTTTCCCATACCCCGGGCTTCAGTCCCAACCATCTCTGATGTACCACAGTCTGTCACACCTTGGTACCTTTGCACCTGCTGTTCCCCCAACCTGAAGCTCCCTTCCCTGCCTTTTACTATAAGCTGAACTTGTGTTCAACCTGGTGCGGCCATTACCCTCTCCCCAGACTTGGTCCCCCTGATGCCGTGCTGGTTGCAGGTCAACTGCAATGATGACCAGGGCGTGTTGCTGGGACGCTGGGACAACAAATATGAGGATGGCATCAGCCCCATGTTCTGGATCGGCAGTGTGGACATCCTGCGGCGCTGGAAGAATTCCGGCTTCCAGAAGGTCAAGTACGGCCAGTGCTGGGTCTTCGCTGCAGTGGGCTGCACAGGTGAGATGTACGCTGGGATGGGGGAGGGCCTGGAAACTTCCCTCAGCTCCTTGACCCCTACAAGGGGGCACAGAGTGCCCTGGAGTGGGGATCAAGAGACCCCAGGTCTCGTCCTACCTCTGCAACCAATTTACTGGGGATGTCATTTGGGAGGCAGCATGTGCTCAGAGTTGACCATACGGACTTTGGAACCCGGCACATTGAGTTAAAAGTCCCCACCTTTCCAGTCACTTGCTCTAGGACCTTGAGCAAATGACTTCTTTCTGAAACTCAGTTTCCTCATCTGTAAAAGGAAAACGACAGAACCTACCTCCCAGGTGGGTGTGACAAATAGCCACTCAGCACAGAACTTGACCCAGTGTAGGTCTCACTAGGTATGATTTATTAATAACTTAATAATCATAATACCACCGATGTTGAGAGAGAGAGAGAGTGCTTTCTAAAATGCAGATAAGGAAAAGATAAAGCGAGTTAAAACCAAAAATGAAAAAATAATTGCTAAAAAATCTTGAAAATTTGAGCCCAGAAAAAGTTTGAAGATTGTTCCAGGGCTGACGATGGTGCTTATGGGAAAGGGTTAGCATCTCATACCAGCTGGGAACATAGAATCTGGAGTCTAGGCCTGAAAGCGAACCCCAGCTTCGCTTCTTACCATCTGCGTGCCCTTGGGTAAATCACTTCTCTCCTGCGAGCTTCAGTTCTATTATATATAAAATGGGCTCAATAGTCCCTTTATCCTGGGGTGTTTGTAAAGATTAAATGAGTTAACATATGTGAAATGTTTAAAATCATTTCAGAGGCCTGACAGCAAATACTTACATAGTGCTGCTGCCTATTATTATTATTATTATTAGACTCAGGAAAGCTAAGAGGCTGATGTCGGGTTTCCAGCTTTTCTGACTCTGAGATCAGTGCTCCGGCCCAGAAAAGGGTCCGCAGGAGCCCCAGCACTGTCCTCCAGGCTGGTGGGCTGGGGGGAGGGGCAGCCTGGCCCCGGTTTCCCGCTGGACTGTCTCCGCTGTTTCTTCCTCCTCACCACCGCTCCATCACTGTCTGCACCCCGGTGACCTCTGAATTCCTCTTTCCATCCTAGACCCTTGTGGGAGGTACCCCTGTCCCGTGGAGTGCCCCCAGACACTGCAGATGAAGAAATAAATTGTACCAGACATCATGTGCCTGTCAAGGAAAGGGGGTGGCTATTCCCTCTAGTGGGCAATGCACTGAGCCCATCTCTGAAATGGCTTTTATTGAGAATGATATGTGCAGGGGTATACAGCGTATGTGCAAAGCTTATTAATCCATGTCAGAGAGCTATAGATAGCAATGAGAGGAATACATAGATTAGCCTTGGGTTAGGGTCTGTCAGACATACTGACGTCAGATGGCCCTTAAGCCAAGGTTCAGGGGCTCAGGGATTTTCTTCCTTGCTTTGAGACTAAACACTTGGTTTTTCCTTATCAGGGCAAGGCAAAGCAGAGCAAGTTTCAGTAAATATGACACATTCTTTGGGCCAGATTTCTGGCCAAGACTTACAGGTCCTTATTCAAGACCTGGCTTGCGCAGAGCTCCAGTTCCCGATACCACATAAAGTACTCCCTAACATCCTCTTTCCTCTGAGAGGCCTAGAACCCATCTGCGCAGAGAACCCCATGGGCTTCCTGGAGAAACCCCCTCATCTGTCCCCAAGGTCCCCCACAGATACCTCCTTCACGCTGGGCTATGACTGCCTACAGGTTTAGCTGCAGATCTTGCCCTTGACTGTCCTCTCCCCATGGCCAAGGCTGACTCTGGTCCTTGCAGCCTCCTCCCAGGTGCGGTGCGTCATGGCGCCAGGGAAAACTTGGGCGAATGGGGGCTTGCCTGACTCCCTTGGTCCCAGCGTTTCTTCGGAAAGCCAAATGGTGGATTGGTCCCCAGGCACTGGAGTCAGGCTGCTTGGTTTGATTTCAGCTCTACCTCCAACCCCTGGGTGAACATGGGCAGGAGAACTGGTGTCTCCAAGCCTCTGTTTCCTCACCTGCAGAATGAAGATGGTGGTGACTAAGCTCATTCACAGGAAGCTTGTAGGACCCAGGGACACGTGCCTGAGCACTGTCTCTGGCTCAGGCCAGGTTAGGGTTGGGGGTTTTCAGGGGAAGGTGTGATTCCTCAGCTGGACCCCAGAGCCTTTCTCAATGTCTGCGAGCTGACCCACACCGACTAGACAAGACGTTTGGAGCGATGGACCCTGTGACTCTCTTTGCTGGTCCACCCCGGGCACTGGGCACACAAGACTGCCCACACCCAGTGACTCTCTGAATCATCACACCATCCTGACAAGCTGCTAATATTAGCTCTTCTCGGAGAAGGAAATGGAGGCTCAGGGAGGGAAGTGGCTTGTCCAGGGTCACGCAGCCGGTGAGTGGCACAGCTGGGCTGGAAACCAGGTGTTCTTGATTCCAGCAAGCCTCTGGGACTTACACTGTGAGGACAAGTCTTCCCAGGATACATCCCCGGGGACAGAAGTAAGGCCTTGCTCCCTGGGCAGTGGGGACAGGAGTCTGGTGGCACGGCGGGGCGGGGCGGGGCCTAAGGTTGGGACACCAGCCTTCGCCACGGGCAGCAGCGAGTCCGGCCTCTGCCCAGGCCTCAGGGCACAGGAGCCAGGCAAGAGGTGGAGATTCAAAGCCGCTTGTATTCCCTCCTCCCAGCACCCACACACCTGGCCTGGATCCAGGGCCATCTGGGAAGCCCTTGCCCTGCTTGATGGCAGGCAAAGGTCAATCCTCGCCCCTCCTCCAGACTCAGCCACTCAACCTCATTCAAAACTAGAAGCAAAACAAAAGTCCTATAGGTTTCAATCAGTGGGGCTTTTTTGTTTCACTTTTTTTTTTTTTTGGTATTTACTTTCTTTGTCTTACGCTGAGAATATGTTACTTTTACAACATGTAAAATACATTAAAAGGCACACAAAAAATGAGGAAGCAAAACCCCTCATAATTCTACCCGTCAGGGCCACTTGGCACTGCCATTCGGGCAAGGCCCGCACCTGGGGCTGCCCCCCTCTGTTGACACCGGTCACTCCAGCCTCTCTGTGTGCTTTGGCGCAAATACAGGACCCTCCTCATCCTCAGTGGTGTCCCAACACAGCTGATGACATGGCACCTGTTCTCTGACCCCATTTTATAAAAGAGGAAACAAGGCCAGAGAGGTGAAGGGACTGGCCCAAGGTCACACAGCCTGAGGCAGCTAGAGCTCGATTGGAAGGTCTCCTGGCCTCTGTTTCCTCTTCTGCCTGTATCGCCGCTGACTCCCTGCTCTGCATCTCTATTATTCCTTCATTCCTTCCCTTCCTCCCTTTCTCTTCTCTCTGCCTCGCCCACACCTTCATCCCGTTTGACAAGCTAGTCTGTGCCAGGCCTGTGGTGGGCTCTGGGGATGGGAAATAAGACAGATCCTTCACATGCCCAGACATGGAGAAGGATGGTAAACCCTTAGTTTGGGTATGAATGCAAACGATGGGGCAATTGAGACCCCCATCTGGCTTTCCTGGAGGTGGGAACAGCGTTTGCCGCTGCCCTGTGCAGGGTGGGAGTGTGGGGGGCTGGGGGAGCAGCAGCCAGGAGGCCAAGGTGGCTTGAGCAAAGGGTGCAGGAGGCAGCCGGGCGCCAGACCCTGCAAGGCCAAGGGACCACAGCTGGAGGTCTGGCCTTGACCTCAAACGCCATGGGGGAGCCATTGAAGGTTTAGCAGGGGTGTGTCGATGTCAGATTTGCGTTTTAGAGTCTTCCTCTGTTAGCTGTGATGTGCAGGGGACAGAGTGAACATGGGGTGACCAGCAAGGTGGATGCTATTGTCCAGGTACAGGGATGGCACACAGCCTCGCCACCTGGACAAAGAGTACAGTGTCCAGCGAGGTACAGACTCTCTACTGTGTCCCCCCTTCTTCCTCCCAGTGCTACGGTGCTTGGGTATCCCCTCCCGAGTTGTGACCAACTATAACTCAGCCCACGACCAGAACAGCAACCTGATCATCGAGTACTACCGCAACGAGAATGGAGAGCTCGACACAAGCAAGAGCGAGATGATCTGGTGAGGTGGGGCCCAGGGTTGGGGGCAGGGCCCAGTGGTGTCCAGAGGGGAAACCTGGGAAGACTTCTCAGAGGAGGCCACATTTGAATTGGGTTTAAGAGTTGAACAGCATTTGGACAAGGGGACACAGGGTTTGGGAAGAGCTCTCCAGTCAGGGGGAACAACAAGAGCAAAGGCCACGAGGAGGGGAATGTCAACAACAATGCGCAAAAGGCACTGGCTGGGAGGTGGGCGAAGGGGGGAGATGTTGTTGGGGTTCTGGAATGCCAGGATAGGGGGTCTGAGCTTTCAAACACAGTGGCTGTCGCCTCACCAAGGGCTTCAAACTGGGAGAGGGACATGCTGATGACCTTGGAGCAGGTCCAGAGGGGAAGATTGGAGGTGGGGGCTGAGGATGAGGCCTGACCCAAGGCAGAGCCTGTTTGCCAGAGGCTGGAAAAGAAGGGATGGAACCGAGCAATTAGGAGGTTGCCTCAGCTGAACCTGAGGAGCCACTGAAAGGGGGGCGTGGGGGGCGGAGACGCGTTGAGAATGATTCTCGGCGCTGGAGTGAGCACCTGGCTGGGGTCCAGAGAGGGAGGGGCCAAGAGGGGAGTCAGGGGCCCTGCTGGGCTCAGCTTGGGACAAGGCGAGTGTGGACTGTCCTAATGGGGAGGTGACTGAAAGTCTGAGTTTAAGTCCTGAGTTTATTGGAAATAAAGCCAGTGTTGTGCTTTATTCCTCACCAGGAACTTCCACTGCTGGGTGGAGGCGTGGATGACCAGGCCAGACCTGAAGGCGGGGTACGATGGATGGCAGGCCCTCGACCCCACGCCCCAGGAGAAGAGTGAAGGTACGTAACTGTGTCCCCGTCACCTGAACCCTGAATGTGGAAACTGAGGCTCAGAGAGCACTCACCCAGAGTCCCTCGGCTGGAGCGTGCAGGACTGGAGTTCTAAGCCGGGTGTGGCTGATGCCAAACGTCATTGGCTGGTCCACTCTAGGGTTGGGGGCCTCACTGATGTTTTACAACAGGCTTGTTCATCATTTGAAAAGTCACTCATGCTCGTTGCAGAAAACAGAAAATAAGGAGAAGCATCAAGAAAATATCAAAGAGCAACTCTGTCCTCTCCCTTCAAAAGAAGTCTCATTCACATCCACACACAGCTTTCAATAATTTCCAATTTTATACTCATTTGTATATGTGTGTGTAGGTGAGAGAGAATCAAGTCAAAATTGGTGAAGCCAAAGGGATCCTTTCTCAAAATAATATTCTTAAATTCACAGACCATAATACCTAGGGTTTACGAAGTAAACCAATTGCACTGAAATATAGTTATCAAAAATTTTTAAAAATAAATTTGTAATATAATAATATATACTTCACATAACAAGATCTAATGGTAGAATTAATAAATTTGATGACTTCGTGGCAGAGATGAGCATAACTGATACCTCTGGATATCTGGGGCCACTATAAAGGGATAGGAAAACATCTGTGGTTTTTACAGGTGATGAGTCACAAGAGCACCGAAGATTATGGTTTGCCTGCTTTTACAATCAAAGGAAGTACTATCTAAGTGCAGTGAAAATCAAGATGTCACTTTTTTCCTGTCCAAGTTCATGGACCCCTGAATTCTATTTGTTGCTCCTTGGGGGCCGTGGACCGTGGGTTAACACTGGCTGGACGTGACCTTTCATGCTGGCTTTGTCACTTCTCCATGTCATTCACATTCTCTATCCGCTAGTGTTCTGTGATTTGAATTTGAATTTCAGGTTACTGAGGTCCATCAAATGGATACACTGTAATGTAGTTACCCAGCCTCTAGTCCTCAGCGTCCAAATTTGTGAGCAGCGGGAGGCAATGATAAACCACACTGAGGTAAACAGCGGCGCCTGTTATACCAGACAGGTGCCCTCTTTCCCAAATACAGCCACTGCTTGGCTTCCTCAGTTCCTTAGGGTGTTTTGGGATGTTCTTCTATTTTATTTATCACTTATATAGCATCTAGGATATGCAAATCCTCATTAGGTAGGTGTAAATATCATCCCCACATGAAACCGAGGCTCAGAGAAGTAACCACCGCAAATCACACAGCTAATGAGAACTGTGACTTGAACCCTAAAAGCTGGGCTCCAGCGTCTTCATCCTTAATTCTTACCCTCAGCTGCTTTCCTAGCAGTGGAGTCCCTGAGTCAAAGGGCTTTATGCTCTCAAGACTTTCTGCCACGTGTGGTTGAATTGTGGAAGGTTTTGGAGGGTGCTACCCTATCCTCATCCAGGATAGACTGCCTATCTCCTTCCTCCTTTCTCCAATCAGGGATATACTGCTGTGGCCCCGTTCCAGTTCATGCCATCAAGGAGGGCGACCTGAGCACCAGGTACGATGCACCTTTTGTCTTTGCCGAGGTCAACGCCGACGTGGTAAACTGGATCCGGCTGCTGGATGGGACCATGCGCAAGTCCACCAGCGACTCCATGATGGTGGGGCTGAAGATCAGCACTAAGAAAGTGGGCCGGGACGAGCGGGAGGACATCACCCACACCTACAAGTACCCCGAGGGTAGGTGCCCAGAGCCAGCGCCTTCAACACTGCCTGGCAGAGAAGCCACCAGTTTTACTAGTCGTGTGTGTGTGTGTGTGTGTGTGTGTGTGTTATTTGGCAGCCTGCATACAAAAATGACCTGTAGGTTAGTCTCCATTCCAAAAAATTCCTTAGAAACAGGCACAAATTTATCAAACACACTGGAAGACAGTGGTATTTGTTTAGGAAAAGAATTCTATATTCCACAAAAGAATTCCATTTGGTCTGTAAGCGTCACTTTTTTTTTTTCGGGTTGATTCAACTCAATAAACCTGAAGGGAATGGCTGCTAAATAGGAGAGGCATGCATCACAACAGAAAGATTAGCGATGGCCAGGTTGTGTATTAACAGCTTACCAGTAGTGGGACCGACAACTGTAGATGAGCGAGTCCACCCTTTTTTATTGCAACGTGTTTGTACTAGAGAGGCTTGGAAATGCAGAGGGGCCATGGAGAAGAGGCTCCTGGAGCTTAGTCATGTTTGTTTTTCTCACACTATTTCTTATACAGCCAGGGAAGTGAGCGTGAAGAGGGCGGGAGGTGTTAAATGAAAGAGAAATGGACCAAGAGAAACTCAAGGATAAGATGGGTTCCATCGGATACAAAGATGAGGCTTCTTTCTGCTACTCATGTTATATCAGTAGGGGGGAAAAAGGGTGTGGCTTATTTTTAAAATTGGATTTGAGCACATCTGACAGCCAATCCAATACAATACTTTCTAAGCACCTACTGTGTGCCAGGAACAGCAGGGCTCACGGCGTTGACTGAGAAACCATAGCCCTGCCCCCACTGAACATAACGTCTGATCCCCACTGACTTTCCAGAGCTGACGGAGGGTTAGATATTAAGTGGCTGTGCTTTAGGTGGGAAGAATAACACAAGAGGGAAAGATGCTTTCCCTGGCCTCTGAAAGGTCTAGAGCTGACGATTTGATAGAAGAAATAAAAGTGCACCCAATAACGATTGGGTGGAAAAAATAAAAGAAGCAGAGGAGAGAGGTAAACAGAACATAAAAGAGGGGTGAGCTCTCTTTCCAGGTGGAGAGCTCCACAGGTAGGGAGCGAAGGGAAAGGGATTCTGGGAGAAGCAATCGCTCTATGCAAACCTGCAGGCGAGGAAGTTCACATTGTCTTGGTGCTTACTATGCACCAACCACTATGGTAGGCCTCGGGTATGAAATAGAGATAAATCAACACAGTCCTAGTCCTCAAGTAGCTCAGGAGAGTAACCACAAAAACAGAAACCAATGTGGTGAGCTAAATCACCATAGCTGGCCATAGGCAGCTGTGAAACTCCAGATGACATTGTGACCGATTCATCCTGCCGTGGTGAGGTTGCTCAGTTGGCTGGAGCGTCATCCTGTGCACCAAAAGGTTGCGGGTTTGATACCTGGGCTCATACCTAGGTCCTGGGTTCCATCCCTGACTGGGGCAGAAGACAACCAATTGATGTTTTCTTTCTTTCTCTCTCCCTTCCTTTCTCTCTAAAATCAATAAAAGCATATCCTCAGGTGAGGATTTTAAAAAAAAAGGCTTCCTGGAGAAGCGGTCATTTAGGGCTGGATCTTGAGGGATGCCCAGGAGTTCACTTTGGGAAATAAAGAAAATATTCTTTCCTCCTCCTGGCGCAGAAATGTAGAGAAGGCCCTCCTTTGGGGCTGCTCTGAGTCACCAGGACTCTGGGAGGCCAGCTTGCTCTGCCTCTGCCTCCTTCGCCTTGGAATATGTTCCAGCCATGAAGGTGCTCTCCTCACTGTCCTCACAGGGTCCTACGAGGAGAGGGAAGCATTCAGGAGGGCCAACCACCTGAACAAGCTGGGTGTTAAAGAGGAGGTGAAGGTAACCATGCGGATTCGTGTGACCCAGAGCATGGCAATGGGCAGCAACTTTGATGTCTTTGCCTACATCACCAACAACACCGCGCAGAAGTACAACTGCCGCCTTGTGCTCAACGCCCGTACCGTCAGCTACAACGGTACCGTAGGGCCCACGTGTAGCTCCAAAGAACTGCATGATCTTTCCCTGGAGCCCTTCTCAGGTAAGGCCCTTGTTCCTGGGTCAGTTCTTGACTACAGACTGATGTGCTAGGTAGTGCCCCAAGTGCTTCGTGTGTGCAATTTACGTCCCAGACTCCTGCACAGCGCTTATTCTTGGTCAGACCCTGTCCTAAACGCTTCACAAATATCAACCCGTTTAACTCTTATAACAAAAGTGGGAGGTGGAGTCTTCTATTGCCTCCATTTTTCAAGAAAGATACTAAGCACAGAGAAGTTAAATAACTTTCCCGAGGCCACACAGTTAAGACGCGACAGGACTGAGACTCGAACCTGTACTCTAAGCAACTACCCCATTTTGTTCCATTTCACTTGGGGCTCCTGACAGCTTTCCCACATGCTCCACTGCTTTCTCCCAGCTGATTCCTTCCCTCTGTCTCCAGCAACTCTCACACCCCTCATCGGAGCCTCTCCCCGCTGGAGGTCTTCAGCCTCCAAAAAAAGAGGTTCTAGACCACTGCTGCCCACAGAACCTTCTGCGATGATGAGTTGCGTGTCTATGCTGCACAGAGTGGTGGCGACTCGTTCCCTGGGGCTACTGAACCATGTGGCTGGCACAACGGTGGAACCAAAGTTTTAATTTCATTTAATTTAACCAGCCACATGTGGCCAGAGGCTGTCCAGGCCTCTGCGGAGAGAAGCGTGTTCCTCCCAGCCCTCACTGTCTCCTCATAGATGGCCCTAGCGCCTGTCCTGGCCTCCCTGGGAGGCAGACCCCCTTCCCTTTGCCCCTTAGTTCCGGGTCTCCCCTGTTTGGGGGTAACATAATGTTAGTACATGACCCAGCCCTCAGCCCTGAGCAGAGCCTCTGTTGTTCAAACGTCCCAGTCAGACACCTGCACAGTCATCTCCTTGGTGCCTTTTGCTGCCCAGCTTTGTTACTGTGCCTGGTTCTCTTCCTTAAAATAATCCTGAGACCCTGAGAGGCGTTGTGGCCACCCCTGAGGTCGCTTAGTAAGGCGACGCAGAGCCCATCTCCTGGCCGCCAGCAGCCTAATCCCGCCTTCCGCGCTGGGAGCCAGAGGCATGAGGAGGGCAGTGGGGCCACGGAGCTGGGAGAGGCCCCTGGAGCAGTGGAGCGAGACACTGGCCATCCTCTGAGGGTCCTGTTGGCTGTGTCGTCTGGGCAGTGGACCACCTCCCTGAACCTCAGTGTCCCCATCAGACACCTGGGCATTGTGACACAACGGTGAGGGATTGTCTGGTGGGCGAGAGGCTGGGCACTTGGGAACTAGGATATTAATGCACAGAAGTAGCGGCGAGGCCTAGGGCCAGAGCACTCTGTGTCTGCGAAGCTGTGGGCCTTCCCCTCTGCACTAGCCTGTCAGCCGAATGTTTCTGCTCCTTCGTGACCCAGGGGCTGGCTTTGGGGCCATCCAGTTCCTAAGGAAGCCCCTCTACGTGTCAGGCCAGGGGTCTATGGTATTGGCCGCCTCTTCATTTTGTCTTGGGAACTACATGGGCTCCCCTCGAGCTGCATGTCCAGAGCAGATGTCCAGTCAGGGTCCCTGAGCAGAGGCCGAACCCTCAGGGACAGAGTCATTTGGTACCAGGGCTGAGTCCCCAACACTTCACCCTGTTGAAAGGTGTTATCTGGGGGCCGGGCAGGCTGGCTTTGAAATTGGCCGCTACCACCTCCTAAATGTATGGCCTCAGGCAGGATGACAAGGCTCCCTGAGCCACACATCATACCCATCCATTCAATGGGGCAACAGCAGGCCTGCCTAAGGGCCCCCGTGAGGACTTGAAAGAGGAGACACGTGCCCAGGAGACAGCTGCAAAGTGTCACGTGGTGCCTGGTCAGGGTGGGGCCTTTACTCCTTGCTGAGCAGAAGTGCAAACAGGCGCGGGGCAGCTGAGAAGCCCTGTGCGCCTTCCCTGACCCCCACTGTGCCCAGCAGGGGTCTCCGTGCTGGGTCCCATGGTGTCTGAGTCCCCGCTAACCTTGATGGCATAGAAAGGACCCGGCCTGGGCCTCAGTACCCGGGGCTCAGTGTCAGCTGTGGGGGAGGATCAGGACACCCGAGTTCTAATTCTGGCAATTCTGCGGGCGGGCTGTGGGCTCTTAGGTTATTTCTCTTCTCCATGCCTGGCCTCACGTTCCTCATTTGTACAAACTCTGGTTCATCTTTGAGGAGCCCTTGCAGCCATTTTGTTAAATGATATATGTGTCATTTCTTGGGCTCAGAAGCACTTCAAAGGGAGGAAGTGTCCTTCCTGGAACGTGTGGCATGAAGGGAACTTCAGCCCGGGCCAGTGATGCTGGAATGACCTCCTCCTGGGCCTCTGTCGTGCCCACTCTGCCTCCAAATTCCCTTGGGCCCCTGGGGCACTGTTCAGGCAAGCCCGCCAGGTTCGTGTCTCCTCTCCCCGAGGATATATTCACAACAGAGGGGGCCCTCCTGCTCTGTCACCCACCCACAGAGGACGCAGCCTGCAGGGAGAGGCCCGAGGTCCTGTGTGTTATCCTCGGGCAACAAGGCAGAGCTGGTCCTGGTGCCCTATGAGGGCCTCCAATGGCAAGCTCGGCCTGCGATTGATTTGTTCGCCCTCGAAGATCACATACTTGGGCTGAGTCGCATGTTATTCTTTTATGATAAGGTCTGGGGGATTTCCATGTGCTAATGGACAGGAAGCCAAAGAGAACAGAATCCAGTCGCCCTCACCCCTGCCTCCTTGCGCTGCTGCTCCTCTCCCTGCCCCTTCCTGCCCCACGCTCACCCCTCCAGGTGGGTCACTGGGTACGTGGCCAGCGCGGGCCTTGGTGATCATGCCTGTCCCTGGCACCTTTCAAAACCAGGCAAATCGCCTAAGGAATGACTGAAACTACTGCACACACCTTTCCTTCTCTCAGCCAGCATCTGGCCCAGCGTCAAGACTGTGGTCTCTGGCGGGCAGAAAACAATTCTCAGAGGTCCAGCCCCACCCTGGTTCAGCCTCCTGGAAAGGTCAATAGTTAAGGCTGTGTCCTCCAAGCTCCCAGAGGACAATGTTTGCTTTCTTTCCTGTGGAGCTGGTCAGACTTTCCACTCTGCTCCACCAGGAATTTTCCCTCCTTTTTGTCCCTTTTGGCAGGAGATTGGGTTTTCTTCCCCTAACGCCATCTGAACAGAGGTTGGGACAGATTTAGAGAGCCAGGCACACTAATGCAGCGTTTTCCAAAGGTGGGGATGTGGATCCTCAGTGGGTCTGCCAAGGTCTAGGCCTTGGCTCATGGTGAGAAAGTGACTCTGAGGTCTTCACAGGTTGGGGAGAAGCCTGGGATCTGCGCAGTCATTCACCAGCGGCATGAGCTCGAGCACATCCTTTCCTCTTGCTGTGCCTGTGGAAATGCAGCTGGGGCCGGGGGGGGGGGGGCGGGGGACTCTGTCTCAGTCACTAAATGTGCTTCCCCTGCCCCTGCAGAGAAGAACATCCCCCTTTCAGTCCTCTATAACGACTACTCCAAGTACCTGACGGAGTCGAACCTCATCAAGGTGCGGGGTCTCCTCGTCGACCCAGCTGCTGACAGCTATATGCTGGCTGAGAGGAACATCTATCTGGAGAATCCTGAAATCAAGATCCGGGTAAGGGGAGGCCTGGCGGTGGGGGGGGTGGGGGGGGGTGGGCAGGGCAGAGTCCCAGGGCCAGCCCAAGGCTGGGAGCAGGCAGGCCTCATGCTCCTGAATCCCTGCACACTCTAGGCCTTTGACACCTCAGGGATTCTTAAATTCTGGCTTCATCAAGAATGGCATCGTGAAGCCAAAAGAATTTGGAATTTGTGAATGAATTCTAGAATCTCAGAGCAGTAGGGACATGGAATTGAGGGATTTTAGAATCACAGATGCTTCAAAGCTGAACTCCTAAAGCCAGACCCCTAGAATGTGGGTCCCTGGCGGGGCAGGGTGAGCGGAGGAGTTAAGGGCACAGACTCTGAAGTTTGACTGCCTGGCTTTGTGGCCGGGTGGCCCTGGGCATGTTACTTTTCCCCTCGTTGCCTCGCTTTGTTCATCTGTAAGACAGGTGATGTAAGGGTTAAATGTGCATCCATGAGAAGCACATATAGCCCCACCCAGTGCATTATAAGGGCTCAATAAAAGCTGACTATTGTCACTATCATCATCGTCATCATAGTGATTCACTTTCAAGGAGCCACGGCCCCAGAACCCCACATGCAGCAGTTACGAATAAATGGTAAAGAATGAGGGGGAGGGAATGAGCGCTGTGTGCCAGTCAGTCTTCTAGGAGTTTGCACGCTAATAGCTCAGTAATCCTTATGAGAACCCTGCAGCCAGGCATTGCTGTCCCATGAAGAAAGCAAGGCTCAGAGAGGGTAGTGATTTTGGGGGCATCACACAGTGGGGACAGGGCTCCAAAGCCTAAGATCTTCCCACTCCAGATCCTAGAACAAGGGAGGCACTATACTCTCTCTGGGTTGCGTGGAGCCTGCCCCTGCGGCTCCATGAAGGAGGACTGGGCTGGTATCATTGCCTGTTTTCCAGAAGAGGAAACTGAGGCACAGGGGCATCGAGTGAGGGTGGCAGAGTGGACATAGCTTTGTTCAGCAAACATTGGGCCAACTTGCAGCAAATATAAAGATGGCCCCGCCGGGATCCTGCCTGCCCTTGAGGGGCTCTGGTCCCCCTCCCTCGGTGCTGCTCCTTACACCTGCCCTGTGCCCTGCCCCAGATCCTGGGAGAGCCCAAGCAGAACCGCAAGCTGGTGGCTGAGCTGTCCCTGCAGAACCCACTCTCCGTGCCCCTGGAAGGCTGCATCTTCACTGTGGAGGGAGCTGGCCTGACTGACACACAGATGACCGTGGAGCTGTAAGTGCTAGTCACCCCAGCTTGGGGAGCCTGGGAGCACAGGGCAGACGCTGATGGGGCACCAACTCTAGCCTGTAACCCCTCATCTCATCTCTCACATGCCTGCCCACAAACCTGACTCATACACCCCTGCATCCCCTTCTAAACGCTTTCGGGGCACAGTTCTCAGCTGCTCATCCTCAGCATCCGCACCACCATGCTAGCTCGGTTCCCTACACATGTCTCCATAAACCTAAACAATTACACATTCCATTGCTAAGCACCTGCCCCCCAACATACAGGCCCTCACATAAATGCAAACATATGCACCCTGAATGTCTACGTGTGTCCTAGATACATCCCATTGGACATACACACATACAAGCATATACACTTCTTATTTCTTTATTATTGTAATGTAAGTTACATACAGTAAAGAACATGAATCGCGCGCATAAAGCTCAATGCATTTTCACACGTGTGGTCACCTGAGCACACCCACTCTTACCCCAAGCACACTGCCCGTTTCCACTGTGTTTGCGAGCACACACAGAGGCATACGCACACAGACCCCTCTATACATAGCAGGGCAGATTGCCCGGGACCTACAGAGCAGGGGCTGGGTCCCCTCATTGTTGTCATTTGTTATTACTGTCAGCATTAAGCCATATATCCGAGAATACAGAGGCTCTGTGCTAAGTTCTCAGTAATCACGTGTCGTCCTGGTCTGGCCCCAATCATGGGGCCAGGCCTGGGCGTCTCCTCATCTTCTTCCTCTCTCTTCACAGCCCACACCACGTGGATGTGGATCAGGAAGCCAAAATCAGGGTGGACCTGTGGCCTCGCCATGTGGGCCTCCACAAGCTGGTGGTCAACTTCGAGAGTAACAGGCTCAAAGCCGTGAAGGGCTACCGGAATGTCATCATCGGCGCCCCCTAAGGGGCTCCCAAGCCTAGTCCCACCCCAGTCAGCTGAGAGGCCTCAACTTGACCCCCAATCTTTATCCCAATCTAATGAGGAAAATTTGCCCCTCCTTGGACCCCAGACCCATCTTCTCCCCTGAGCCCGATTTCCCGCCCTTGTATGTGTGAGCAATGTTCTGTGCCTCCACAGCCCTGGCTTTGGCTGACTGGGCTTGGGATGGGAGAGAAGGGACCCACACTCCCCTCTCCAGCCCAGATGCCATTTGGAAAGCAACTAATCACCCACCATATTGTTTTATCTATTCCATAGCCCAATGGAGCAAAAAAGAGACAGAGTGCCCATTGGCCGGATCAAGGAACTCAACACCCTAGCGTGTCCTGGACACCTTCCCCAGACTGTGCCCAGGCCCCAGGAGCCCTTGGGGCAGTCAGCACAGGTGGGGATGGGGAGGGTCCCAGGTATAGGCCAGGCCTGAGCTCCTCCCACAGTCCCTCTCCCTGCTCACCATTGTGAAGCACCTACGATGTGCCAGGTGCATCCTGTACTTGCTGGTACTCACACAGCCCATTTAATCCATCGCCATGGGAAATTGCAGAGTAGAGCTGCTTTCTCAATAAGGAAACTGAATCTTGGAGAAGGGAGGTGGCCCACTCTGGCCAGGTGGACTTGTGGATATTTGAAAGGCTGGGTCATGAGAAGGCATGGGAATGAAGCACAGGCCTTCTGATTCCAAGTCCAGTGCCCTGCTCATGTCACCAGCCCTGACCTGAGAATGTCAGGGAGGTCATTTGGGACCTGACCAAAAAGGACCCGGTTGGGGTGAGGAAGTGGGAAATGGTTGGAAGGGGTCAGAGCCCCGAGTCCGGCCCGCCGGGGCCCCCTCCTCCCTGGGCCTTGGTGTCCTCGCTGCTCAGTGCAGTGGCCGAACCAGCTCATCTCCAAGGGCCTCTCAGCTGTGCATGCCTGATGCCTTGTATGATCCAGCCTTACAAATGACAGCAAGTCCTGCTCCCTGGTTCCACAGAGCCTTAGGCTTCACACCCAGGAGGTTTCTTAGAGTGAAACCAGGACCAGGGCCACTGTTCTGCCCCCAGCCCTAACCAGGTTCCACACCTGTGCCCAGGCACCTTCCTTCAGACCCCAGTTCCAGGGGCAAAGAGCCCTGGAGGATCCCTGTCTTACCCATGAGCCTCCCCACTGCAATGCCTAGACTTCACAAGAGCCTTCGTTGCCTTGCTGGCCACCAACCAACAAGGTCAGCCCCTGAGCCACTCCCTCGTTGCAGGACCAGGGCCCTGGAATACAGCTCAGGGAGCCCATGAGTTATCATCTCTGACTTAATCGCCCACATTCTCCACGTGACCCAGCCTCCCTAAGCCTGGATGAGGGAAAAAAAGAGCATTCTCTATCTGGAGTGGGGTCACAGCTTCCAGGGCCCCTCAAAGCGCAGAGAGGGCCTTGGGGAAAGTCACGCTGATGCACTTAGAACTCGCTGCTTTACACAGGGAAGAATCACATAATGAGCCGACAAATATACGATCTATATAAATATTACTCTGTTTTTCTATGATTTTATAAATGCTTTTGGGTTCCAAGCAGACAGTAGATAGGCTTTTGAGCCACAGGGAGCGAGCACTTAAATAAAGAGTTTATTTTTCACATTCAAACAAGGTCTGGTCTAGTCCTTTTCACGCTTTTGAGGGGGGTGGGTAGGTGAGCTCATTCACAATGGGACAGGTTAGGTCTAAACTTGACTGACATTCAAGACTGTACACAGTCTGGCTCTCTCCAGCCTCTTTTCCAAACAAAACATGTTTGGGCCACAGTGAACTTCCTGTATCTCTCCAAACACTGTGTATTTTCCAACTTCTTAGCTCCTGCATGGGTAGTTCCCTGAACCTAGAGTGCCCTTCTTCTTCCTTACCCACCTTGTGAGCTCCTACTCATCCTATAGTGCTTAATAGCAAAGTCACCTCTTCTGTGAAGCCTTCCCAGATTTCTTCGCAGGCCCTCAGAACCCCCAAACATGGACCAACTCAGACATTTATCAGAGAATTTTAATTCCATGTTGGTATATCTGTCCCTCTCACCATTCCATCTGAAGTCCTGAAGGGTGGGGACCAAGTGTCACTTAAATAGACACTAATAGATGCTGAACTGGTAAATCAAAGAATTTGAACTCAGCTCTCATAACACCAGTGCTATCCAAAAGAAATGTAACATGTGCCACAAATGCAAGCCATACATGTAATTAAAATTTTTCTAGCGGCCACATTAAAAAGAGTACAAAGGAATAGGTGAAACACATTTTATGTAATCTAATGTGTCCAAAATATTGTCATTTCAACACATAATCAATATAAAAATTATTAGTGAGATGCTTTACATTGTTATTTTCACATTAGGTCTTTGCAATGTGGTATATATTTTACACTGACAGCTCATCTCGGTTCAGAGAGCTGCATTTCAAGTGCTCAAGCATAGGCACTTCTTATTTTTTACTTTATTGTTGTAATGTGAGTTACATACAGTAAAGAACACAAATCATGCACTTACAACTCAATGGCCGCAGGCAGCTACTGGCCACCGCATGGGACAGTGCTCTGTCTAGACTGCAAGTCCAGGAGTGCGGGAACTTGGCCATTCACCTCAGCCCCCACTGACGAGGCACTGATAATATTTGTTGATTGAATAAATAATAGAAGACAGTCTCTGGTCCTCAGGGAACTCACGTTGAAAGACATGACAGGCAACTAAAAAATAAATCAAAATAAACGCTTATCATGTCCTCTGGTTGTTGCATCCTTCTGTTCCTTGAACAGTACATCTTGGTTCTGGCCTGAATTGCCCGAACATTTTATCAATTAGTAACCTGCTAGAAAACAGAAACCACGGGGCTATTTCAGGCAGAGGGCACGTTCATAAAGGAAATTGACTCCAAAGGCATCCGAAAGAGCAGAGAGGGAACATTACCCGGAAATGAGGAAGGAGCTGCCACCTGGCCAGTGAGGAGCCCATGGGCCTGTCTGCACCGCCTACCTGCTGGAGGTGTTGTCACTGCAGCCCTGGAACCACAAAGCCTGGAGTGACAGAGGCTGCCAGAGATGGCTGCGGCAGGAGCCAGGGGCACGCTGGCACCTCTCCTGCCTTCTCCCCACTGGCAGACCCTAATCAGAAACTAGTTGGCAAGGGGCTCTGGAAAATATTATTTTCAGGCTCCAGCCCCCCTGGGAACAGAGATGGCTGGGCCATTGCAGGTCGAGGAGGTTACGGGGCTGAGGGGCTGGTACTTACGGCTCGCTGCCCCCTCGGCTAAGAACACGCTTACCATCATCTCTGCCTCAGGAACTCTTACTCAGCCTTCAAAACCCTGGTCCTCTGTGAAGCCTCGCTGGACTGCACCCAACTGCTGCAGCCTCTGGGTCCCCTCAGCACATTGCAGACATCCCTTTACATCACTCAGGGCAGGGGCAGGCCACGCCCCCTCAAGGGGGCCACCAAGTAGACTCAGGACTGCCAACTCTGGTTCCCACTCCGGACTGGCCTCCCACTAAAGGGCAGGGGCAGGGCTGCCCCAGCCAGGTCTGCCAGTGCTGGCTAGATTCAGAAGCCTCTCTTGACCAGCCCCTAAGCCTGCCCCACCCCTGGGAGCCCACCAGCCAAGAACCCAGGAAGGAAAAAGCCTCTCTGCTCACGTAAGCCCATTTTACAGACAGAGAAAATGAGCCCGGTAACCTGCTCCCCAAACCAGATATGAGGGCTGAGAGTGGGTTCCTGTAGTAGAGTCCCCAAATGCATTGTCACACAGCAGCTCGGTGCTGCTGGGCGCCCCTCCAAGTGCAGCTCACAGTCCTGTTGTCAGGGATCCGGGCTCTGGAGCCACACAGATGCAGGATCTAAGCCCTGCTCTGCCGCGGATTCACGGTGTGGCTTCAGGCAGGTTCTCAGCCTCTCTGTTGAATGAGGACAACATGATGTCAACTTTCATGACCAACTTGCAGGCTCAATAAAATGGTACACAGAAAACAATGAGCTGCTCCCAGCACATTGTAATCCTACTAGCTGACTTTACTCCCAGGCAGAAGCCTTCACAGGCATTGTGTTTTTTACTCCTCAACCTTAGCCTGTTGTTCCCTTCATTTTACAGATTTCATTGCAGAGCTGGGACTTGAACCCAGGCTGCCTGTCCTCTCCAGATCACACCTTAGCCTAGAGGAGGCTCAGTTTCTACTTGAACCCTGCCCCCCCTTCCCAAATTGTTCTAGAACACACAGGGCAGAGGCCTCCACACAAGCCCTGATGAGAGGTCTGATTGGGGCCATCTTCCCAGCCCTGAAGTTCCTCTCCTCTCCAGCTGCTCTTGTTGGCCCAGGATGCCTGCCAGCTCACTCGTGGGCCTCAAGCCAAGCCCGGAATAACAGAACGCTGATAGAATCTAGGAAGGAGGTGCTGGGGGTAGAAGGCCAGGCAGAGGCCGCCTGAAAGCACGTGCCTGTGAGGCCAAGACTGGGTCAACTCCGTTTCCTGGCCTCCCTGCTTCCCTCCCCCACAGACCTGGACAGAGACGCAGAAACACACACCCGGGAAACCATGACTGTGTTCTGTTTCAAGTGCTGAAGTCCATAGAGACCCATTAAAGCAGAAGCAATTAAAAAAAAAATGGTCCTGCATCCAGCCTTGAGGACACAGGATCTATAATGATACCAACACAATGAGTGTCATAGAACTTAAGCAAAGGACACAGACACAAAGGACTAATATCAACATGGTTCCGCCCATGAAGTTCATGAACAGGCAGAGCTCATCTGCGTGTTGGAAGTCAGGACTGTGTTTTCCCTGGTGGGGGAGAGACTGGACTGGAATGGTTTTGATTTTCTTCATCTGGGTGCTGGGTAAACAGGCACATTCAGCCTGTGAAAATGTGCCAGCTGCGCATGCGTGTGAGCATGTGTGTGTATATGTCCTCTTTTCCTAGGGATGGCCTACTTCAATACAATTTCAATGAATTCAGAACTGGGAGGTTCTAAAATTAAGCCCAAAAGGGGAAGGAAGAGGGGGATTCAGCTCTAGAGTTCTCTCCCTTTCTTCTTCTGGGAGATGGGATACCAGTAGGGTACACCTCCAGGGATATTGTGAGGCTCCCACAAGGTGTTACATTATAAATACGAGACTGCAAGGGCTGTGACTTGTGTTTCTCATTTGCTGTGAACAGTGTGTGGCTCATCAGCCAGCGATGAATATGTTGAATGAAAGAACTTAAAGCTGGGTTTTTCTGCTCTCAGCCAACCCTCAGAACAGGCCATAGAGAGGGTCGTCCCATTCCCCAAGTGGGGAGCCTAAGGTGCAGAGATGTAAGACGGCTCACTCAATGTCTCCCAGCAAGATGGCAGGGCAGGAATTCGAGTCCAGGTGACTCTCTCCTGTGGCATCCCACAGAAAGGCCTTAAAAGTGGAAGAGACAACTCGATCCCCAGATACTGGACAATGGAAATGGCAAATCTTAGACACTTGCAGGGTCTAAGAAAGCCAGAGCTAGAAGGCCGGGCTCATAAAAATAGTCACCACATAACCCAGCAATTCCACTCCCAGGTATGCATCCAATGGAAATGAGGCCATGTGACCATGCAAAAAGTTGTACAGGAATGTACATGAATATTCATAGCAGGATTATTCATAGTAGCCAAAAAGGGAAACAACCCAAAAGTTCATCAACCGATGAATATATAAATTAAATGTAGAGATTAACAACTGAAGGAGACAGCCGGAGACAGTAGATTCCTGGAAGTCTCCAACAGACTGCCTAAGGTCAGACAGGGTCAACATCTGACATCATCAGAGACAGATCCAGAAAGAAAAAAACAGCGGTCTCCTACCATAGAAGTTCACACCACAAATTCAGGAAATCAAGACAGATCAATTTAAGAAGCAGAAGCCAAAAAAAAAAGAGAGTCTCACAAATAATGGAAAGTCAAAGAAACACCCCCCAGTTAAAGAGAAAGGAGGAATCCCCAGAAAGAGAACTAAATTAAATAGAGGCAAGTAAACTATCCGGTACTGAGTTCAAAACAACAGTTCTAAGGAAGCTCAATGAGCTCAGTGAGCTCAGAGAGCACTACAAAAAACTACAGGGAAACTACAAGAAACTTACTGCAAACTATACCAGCATGAAAAAGGACATAGAAACTATCAATAAGAGACAAGAGGAAATGAAGAATTCAGTTTCTGAATTGAAGAAAACAGTAGAAGGAATCAAAAGCAGTTTCAATGAAACAGAGGATCAAATCAGTGAGCTGAAGGATGAGGTAGAAAAAAGCTCCCAGAAAGAGAAAGAAAATGAAAAAAGACTCAGAAAGAATGAAGAGGCATTTAGGGAAATGTAAGACAACCTAAAACGTAATAATATCTGTAAAATAGGAATACCAGGAGAAGAAGAGCAAGAGATAGAGAACCTGTTTGAAAAAGTAATGATGGAAAACTTCCCTAATTGGAGGAGAGAAAAAGTCACACAAGTCCTGGAAGCACAGAGGGTGCCATTCAAGAGGAACCCAATGAAGCCCACTCCAAGAGACATCATCATTAAAATGGCAAATATCAAAAACAAACAAAGAATCCTAAAGGAAGCAAGGGAGAAACAGGTAGTAACATATAAGGGATTCCCCGATATGGCTAG